GGACTGCATTTGAGAAATCCTGCCCCTGCATTATCAATAGAGAACAAACAACCACTTTGAAGAAGCTGTGGCACGGGAACCCATTTGCAGGGACAGAGGCCTGACTTCCTCACAGAAATGAGCCTCTCACATGGAATTTGGTTTACTGTTTCTGAAGGCTGTTTTTCCCAATTGGCATTGTCACAACTGTGAACAAGAAGCAACTTCAACCCACACTAAGAATAAGTGGCCCTGAAGCACTCACTTACACAGAAATTGTAATTTAAGAAAAATAAAACTATAGAAGAGTTACATTTATTTATTTTTTATTTATTTATTTTTTGTGTGAGAAAGATCAGCCCTGAGCTAACATCCATGCCAATCTTCCTCTTTTTGCTAAGGAAGACTGGCCCTGGGCTAACATCCATGTCCATCTTCCTCCACTTTACATGGGACGCTGCCATAGCATGGCCTGACAAGTGGTGCATCGGTGCACGCCCGGGATCCGAACCCGGGCTGCCAGCAGCGGAACGTGCGCACTTAACCACTACGCCACGGGGCCAGCCCCTAACAGTTACATTTATATAAATCTAAATATTGAACATTACATTAAGGACAGAATAAAACTTTTAACACTCCATGACCTTACAGTGCTTTAGTTAATAGCAACAGCTACCATTTTTTGGGCAATTTTCATCATCACCATGTTTCAGACATTATGGTAAGTGTTTTTCATACGTCGTCCCATTTTATTTTCACAACAACCCTATGAGGTAGGTATTATTACTCCCCTTTTATTGATGAAGAAATGAAGGCACACAAAAGTTGAGTTACTTTCTAAAAGTCAGAGAGCTAGTTAAATAACCCAGGTCTGACTGAGGTCCAGACTTTTCATCAGAAGTATGTAAACTAACGACATCTCAAGGCTCTAAAACAAGTTTTTAAGAGACCAAGTTGTTATAGTGAAAAATTTCAGAAAGCCATAGAAAAATAAACCATCATTCCAAAAATAAACTTGAGTTGTATGAGCAAAAAAATAAAGCATTGCCTTTTGGCTAATGCTAGAAACAGCCCATTTATTTTTATTCTCATTAATTTTTTTAAGGAACCGAAAACATTTTGAAACATGTTTTGGAAATTTTCCCCAGAATTTGGTAAGATTATGATCAAACTTCACTGAGCTCCCACTAGGTGCCATGTATTGCTAGGCGCCAGGTTATAGAAATCAGTAAGAAACAGTTTTCATCCTCAAAAGATTCATTGGTGTTGGTGGGGGATAAAGGACAGATCATAATACACTGTGGAAAGTATAACAGAGTGAGGTGTGGGGTATTACAGAAAAGCGAGGAATGCTTTCCAATTTATCCAACAGGTGGTCGAGTTTACTGGAGCAAGAGCAGCGAACAGTTGTCAGCTGAAGGGGGTGGGCTGCTCATTCCAGGCAGAGCGCAGAGCCTGGGCACAGACCAGAAGCAGGAAGTAGTGCAGTAGCATGGTACCCGGGGGGACCCACAAGAAGGTCAGGGCTGCTGAAGCATGGAGGGGGAAGCAGGAAATGGACATACATAAGGCTGGGGAGGTGGGCAGGGTCCAAATCCTGAAGAAGTTTAAACCAGGGGAGAGTTTTACGCAGAGAAGTGACACGCTCAGAATTATCCTTTAACTAAATCCCTCGAAGGTTGTGTGAAGCATGGACTTGGAGCCACACAGCTGTAGGTTCAACTGTTGGCTCTAGGGCTTTTTAGCTGTGTGAACTTTCTAAGCCTGTCTTGTCAACTGTAAAATGAGAAGTAAATGAGATAATGAATGTAAAACAGGAACACAGTAAATGCTCAATAAATGGTAGCCCTTATTATTATTATTAATATTAGCATTATAAGCCTAGAAGTTCAGGAGACCCATACAGGAGTCCAGGTGAGACATACTGAGACCCTAAATACGGATGAAAAAACAGGACAATCTGAGAAATATTTAAGAAACAGAATTGACCAAATCTGATGACCACTGGCTATGGGAGTGTGGGCAAGGGAGAAGGAGGCACCATCGATGAGCTCTAGGTCTGCGCTGAGTGACTGAATGGACGGTGGCTGGTGGTGCTCCTGATACAGAGAATATGGGAGGCAGAACAAGTCTGGGAGTCTGAGCCTTGTTGAGGAGGAGGTGTGCATCCAGGAGGGGATATCCAGGAGGTCAATGGACGAGTTTAGAGTCTGGGGTGTAGATGTGGCTTGGAGTTAGAGAAGGGGGTGCCATAAGTATCTCACACCATGGGAAGGGAAGAGATCAACCACAGAGGGCATGTTCAGTTAGAAGAGCAATGAGCTAGGCCAGACCCTGGGAACTCCCACAATTAAGAGGCAAGGGAAGAAAGAGAAGCCCCCAAAGAAAGAAAAGCACCACAGAAGACCAGAAAAGCCTGGAGGCTCAGTGTAATGGCAGCTGAAAGAGCAGGATTTCATGGAGGGAAACATCAGTGGTGCCCAATGCAGTTGAGAAGTCCAGTAAATTCCAAACACATCCTTGGGATTTAGCAGAAACTGTTGCTGATTTTAGAGCAGAAGGCAATTTTAGGATAAGGGAGATAGAAGCACAACTGCTGCGTTAAGGTGTAAATAGGAGTGAGGAAGTGGAAAGAGTCTACCATAAATCTGGTAAAAGGGATGGAGAGGAATTATGTAGTAATAAAGAAGGAATGTAGGGTCAAAGGTTAGGTTAAGAATTATTTTTAGGATGGAGCACGCTAAGCATTTTGTGAGCTGAGAAGGAAAAGATAGATGATGAAAGGTGATGATGCAGGAGAGAGAATCACTGACAAAACAAGGTTCTTGAGGCAAGAAGAAGGAATTTTTAAGTATCTACTATGTGTCAGGCACCACACTAAGCCCTGGGGACACCTGTCAACAAACCATCAGAGTGTGACATGGATGCTTGTCCTCGGAGTGCATCCCGCCATAGGAGCTCAGAGGGGTGCCCATCTGACCGTGGGTTTCCTGAACCCAAGCCTGGGCCTGCTCACCTCTCTATTCCCACTGCTCACAGTGTCTGGTCCCACCTGCTAGGCATTCAATAATGTTCTTGGTATGGATGAAAAATATACTTGTCAGAAACTTTACTTCCAGGGGTAGAAATTTTATAAAGAGGCATGAGAATGTATTCTAAGACAGATAAAGGGAATTTGGGTACTGAAATACAATGAAAAATTAATTAAAATAATAATACACATGCTCGATAGAGACAGAGATTGGACTGGTGGTTACCAGAGGGCAAGGGGGGGAGGGAGGAGGGCGAAAGGGATAATTCGGCACAGGTGTGTGGTGATGGGTTGTAATTAGTATTTGGGTGGTGAACATGATGTAATCTATGCAGAAATAGAAGTATAATGATGTATACTTGAAATTTATACAATGTTATAAACCAATGTTACTGCAATAAACAAAAAATTTAAAAAAAAAAGATACACACTCGGAAAACATACACATGTAAGAGCTTTGTATAGAGGCAGCTGAAGGTTAAGAGAGTGGGGGAGATAGGGGTCACAGGATTCAACCATGTGGAGAAGGCCTGAAGTGGTTCCAGAACTCTCTCTGGCCAAATATATCCCCCAATCTGCAAGCTTATGTTTAAAATTCATTTAACCACTTAAGAAGGGACAAAATTTTTCATCTCAAAATTATAGATAAGGGATTAAAAAGGAAATGCAGTGAGATTATACATCAGCTAAAACCCATTCACCATAAAATAAAATCAGTTAGGCAGGCTCTGGCTCAGACCAGCCAGGGTCTAAGCAACGTTCCCCACCATTTACTGGCTGTGTGACCTGGGCCAGGTCCCTTAACCTTCTCCAGGAAAGCAGACCATGTGACAGATGAGTCCCCAAGCCCTTTTCAAATCTCTTGCTCAAAGTTTCTAAAGCAGAGTTTCTTAACCTTCTGGGGATCACACATTCCTCTGAGAAGCTAATGAAAGCTATGAATTCTATTCATTCGCCCCCCAAATAAACATAGACACATGCCTACAAAATTCTGCAAATCATTTGAGAAATCCCTGATTGTAGACCTCCTTCCTACTGGGAAAATAGCCAAGAAACAACTCTTTATAATGAAGATGTTTTGTCTTCCCAGGTATCATAGTGAACCCTGCAAAACCCGCGGTGGACAGTGTGCTGTGTGTCCACCTGAACTATAGGCCTCCTCATCTCTGAATTTCCTAGTGCCAAGCACGGTGCTTTGAATACAGTAAGTATCCACTTAATTTGTAAATTAAGTAGATCAAGCCCATAATGGTTTGAACGCATAGTTCTCGAGCTTTCAGACCTTCAGTGCTTCTGAATGAATATCAACTTCAGATCCTCCCCCTGAGAGACAAGCCCGGATGCACAGCAACCTCTATGGGCTTACTCCACAGGGTCTGTCAACTTTCCAAAACTGATTTCTGTTTAACGAGAGGGGTCTAGACACCCCAGACTAGAAGCTATGCCTCAGTCACAAAGCAGAACTGATGATCCTCCTTTTCTCCCCCAAACAAAACACACTGTATCTGCTTTTAGTAGAAATCCCTCATATTTGTATAACCCTTATACTTACACTTTTCCAATCCCTCTCACATACATTAAGTATTCATCTGGGAAGTAGGCAATATACGCAGTACGCCATTTTAAAAGATAAGAAAAGAGAATATAACATTTAAATGCTCAGAGAGGGCTTTCAATGTAGCCCAGCACCAGGACCCCAAGTCACATTTTTATAAATATGCTGGTGTTTCTCTAGTATCCTTATAATGAGAAGGTGGGAGAGGTGTCTTAAATTGACAAAACAAAATAGCTATGACATTTAATAAAGTGCTCAGTAATAAAATCTAAATAGTACCTATGATTTTAGAAACCAATTGAAGCAATTTTATACATAATGATTAAATAGTTTAGTTTTTTCAATATTCAATAAGAATCGAATCAAGTTATCATTTATGACTTAAAAAAAAAGCAGAATCCACTGTACATAGTAGGAGGGAAATTCCATACTTACCTATCGCACAATGTATAATCTAGAGGAAAAAAGGGGGAAAAAGAGAATTAGTAAAGATCGATAATATTATAGTTTAATTTCACATAAACTAGACTTCAGTGGGGAATAGAGCAGTGTCCGCCAGCAGTATCAAATTTGAAAAACGAACATTCCATTTTTAAACTTGGCTACAAGTGATTTAACAAAATGCAAATTCTTGTTCGGTTTTCTGTTTGTTCATTTTTAGTTTGTGCATCTGTGGAAGGTTTCCTAAGGAGTAAAAATCTCACCTAGCAGTTTATCAGATGTCAAGGACTTCTTTCATAATATACAAACTTATAAGAACAGTAAGTGGACAACATCTCCCATGTCCAATATTCTATAGAACAGAACCGTCACAGACTACGGAACTCAGGGTCAGAAGAGTCCTTGTTGGCTCTTCTTGCCCAGCAGGCCCTTCAGTGCAGACATTCATTCTACAAAGCTCCACCCTTGGTCCCCATCTTGTCTCATTCAATTACTCATTACTGGGGCGTTGCCAGTCCAATCTCTAACCCTAGCTCTCTGAGCTCCAGGCCCACATTCCAAACTGCCTTTGGACATCTCCATCTGGGTGGACCAGCGGCAGCTCAGACACGGCACACCTCAATGGGGAGCTCACCCTTTCCTTTCTTCACACCTGCTATGCCTCCTGATCACCAACCTCCCAGTCTCTCAGGTTCAACCACTCTTTCATTCCCTCACCCCCAAGTCCACCTGGTTTCAAGTCCCGCCAGTGCTCCTGGCATCTGTTTTCCCATTTTTTTTTTAATTTCCAGTGCCTGGGATGAGATTGCTACCTGCTCTCTATCTCAACGGCCACCCAACAGGCCAATCAGGTTCTTCTAAATCCTCTTCCAATTCACCCTGTATACGGCATTGCTCTAACCCTGCTGGTGGTAAAGAAGTAATCTGAAGCCACCTACAAGACTGATTTATTGACCGGAGCTTTTCTAGATGATAAGACCTAACATCCACTGCTGTGCATTTTAGAATTTACATTTCTCTACCAATCATTGTGCTGTTTGATCCTAACAACCATCCTGGCTGATAGGACGCGTATCTCTACCTGCAGATGAGAAAACCAAGGCTTAGAAAAGCTGCTCAACTTACCCAAGGTAGTAAGCGACATCTAGGATCAAGAAGCTAGGTTTTAACCCAAGTGCCCATCAACAGACGAATGGATAAAGAAGATGTGGTATATATATACAGTGGAATACTACTCAACCATAAAAAAAAAAATAAAATCGTGCCATTTGCAACAACATGGATGGACCTTGAGGGTACTATGCTAAGCGAAATAAGTCAGACAGAGAAAGACAAATACTGTATGATTTCACTCATATGTGGAAGATAAACCAACACATGGATAAAGAGAACAGATCAGTGGTTACCAGAGGGGAAGAGGGTGGGAGGGAGGGTGAAAGGGGTAAAGGGGCATATATTTACGGTGACGGATAAAAACTAGACTACTGGTGGTGAGCATGATGCAGTCTACACAGAAACTGATATATAATAATGTACGCCTGAAATTACACAATGTTATAAACCAATATGACCTCAATAAAATAATTAAATAATTTAAAAAAGAAGCTGGGTTTTATTTCTACTCTACTGATTTTTCTATTATATTATTTCATTGTACATTAGTTATAGGATATCAAGCCATAACTTGACAAGACTTATCTAAAACACGCCTGATGAGACTCTGTGCTCAATAAGACTATTATTCTACCAAGTTTTTTTTTGGGGCGGGGGGAGGTTGGATTAAAAAAATCAAGCTAGGGGGCTGGCCTGATGGCATAGCAGTTAAATGCGTGCGTTCTGCTTTGGCGGCCTGGGGTTCGCAGGGTCAGATCCTGGGCACAGACCAAAGCACCGCCTGTCAAGCCATGCTGTGGCAGTGTTCCATGTAAAGTGGAGGAGGATGGGCATGGATGTTAGCCCGGGGCCAATCTTCCTCAGCAAAAAGACGAGGATTGACATCATATGTTCGCTCAGGGCTAATCTTCCTCACAAAAAAAAAAAAAAAAATCAAGCTGCACAAATTTGTTGATAACTGATAAGAGAACAAAAGAATTACCATACTGCAAATCTTATCATCTTTTTCAAAAGAAAACACTGCTAAGAATCTCAAATGTGTGAATATTACAAGATAAGCTGGACCTCCTGCTACAAAGGGAAACTAAAAGATGTAAGCAGATTAAAATGAGGAATAAAAGACATGAATGAAGAGCATGCTTTGAAACAAGACAGCTGACAGTGCCTAGAAGGAAAACCTATTCTATCCACATATGTGGCAAGACATCCAGGCTGCTGATCAACAATAGGAGACCACAGGAAAGGATACACAGCACTGAAGGGCCATCGTTTTCTTTGCTTGATGGAACAGTAGTAGGTCCAAGTCCCATTAGACCCAATCTCCCCTTTTTAATCAGATATATTTTATACGCCTCCTTTACTATCCTGAAATGAAATTCATAGATGACATAACCTACCTAGAAAAAATTTTCAAAAAGATACAATGTCCTAACTGAAATGTAGAGAAGAAATAAAAAGAAAATAATTAATTAAAAAATATGTATTTCAGTATATAAATGTTTGGGGACATAATGACATAATGAAGCAGTCAAATGTATGTACCAACTTATGATAAGTCTGGATTTAGAAATATGAATATCAGGAACCACTTTGGACAAGTATAAAAGAGCAGAAGCACAGACCAACACTAGAATAAAAAAAAGTATTAAGATAATAATGGAAATAGGGAAGTAATCCTAACTGAAGTTGGAATAATAAGCCAAGGTAAGTAACAAAGTAGAGAAAATACAGTATTATCACAATGAGCTAGGTCTTATTTATTCCTAAGTGTGGCATCAAAATAATCCCCTGGGTTATGTCACAAGACGCGGTAAGAAGAAAGTATTACAGAAAACCTATCCTCTGCCTTGAAATCCTGGTGAGACATACAATCAGTGTCTAGTCTGTAAAAAGACCTCAGAGACCATATTCTTTGAATGGCGCAACAAGGAACAGAAAATGGATTAGGCCAAAAAAATCAATGCAAGAGGCAATAAAGCAGTTGTGTAATAGATTGGAAATTGTTTTAGGATAAAACTGAAAAATTACAGTGATCCCAAAAAAAGGCAGTAATATGAAATGTATTAAAATAACCTATATTAAAGAAATCCAAGGAGATCCCTGCATTTCACGTGTCTCCGCTAACTTAATCATTGAGTCTAAACAGGAATCTCAAATTTCCTGTTACATACTTTCAGTTTCATTGCTTTTGCAGTTAATTATTGCACTGAAATACTTTTCAACTAAATATGAAAGCTGGAAATGCTATAATACTTACAGAACAGAATGTGCAGAGTGAACAAATGACTCAGTTATTTTGAGATGGTATCTTTACTTCAGTTAGGTTCACTCTTCATACCAACCGTGGTAGGCAGAATTCTAAAGATGATTCCCCAAGGTTCCTGTTCCTTGGTTACCCAATCAAACACTAATCAAGGTCCTACAGTGTAGGGATTTTGCAAATGTAATTAAAGACCCAAATCAATTGATTTTAAGGTACGGAGATTATATGGGTAGGCCTGATCCAACCAGGTGAGCCCTTTACAAGCAGAGTTTTCTCTGACTGGTAGCAGAAGGGGAAGTCAGAGACATTCACAGAACAAGAAGGATTCAATGAGCCATTGCTGGCTTCAAAGACGGAGGGGGCCACGTGTAGGGACTGGATAGCAGCCTCTAGGAGCTAGGAGTGACCTCCAGCTGACAGGAGCAAGGAAATGGGGACCTCAGACCTACAACCACAAGGAACTGAATTCTGCCAACAAGTTGATTGAGCTTAGAAGCAGATTCTTCCCCAGAGGTCCCAGATAAGAGCCAGCCTGGCTGACACCTTGATTTCAGTCTTGTGAGACTCTGAGCAGAGAACCCAGCCAAGCCCAGCTCCTGACTTAACGGAACTGTGAGCTAATTAAATGAGTGCTGTTTTAAGCTGCTAAGTTGGTGATATTTTTGTTATGCAGCAATAGAAAACTGAGACAACCGTCTTCTCACTTAATAAGCATTTTGTTTAATTTCTCATGAAGATTTTTTTAGTATTAATATATACTACAAAACTATCAACTTACTTTTGTAGAGGGATTAGCCTGGGGGAATATACAAAAGTCAGGGGGAATGCAGAACAAATCTTCATTGAGTTAGACTGGGTTTTTTCTACAATGAATATATAGCACTGATGATTAGAGAGAAATACCTTTCCCTTCTCCTCTGGTTTCTATGAGAAGGGTTTTCTCTCAAATATTTCTGATCTCTCTCCACCCTTTAATCACTTCACCTCAGGAAAGGAAGGATGACTCATCTGGGTAGTAAATTTGGGAAGAATAAATGCGGCATGCTCAATTCAGTCCACCTAAGGTTTCCACAAAGAACCCCCAGTTCTCTGGTTTCCTCCATGCCACCCTGGCTGCTGCTGCCTGGGGCAGCGTGCACGGTGAGTCTAATTCTGGAGCCCAGTTAGCAAATCCGTTTGGCTTGCACACTAATGCATGTCCTCCAGCAAGGCCTGTATCACTAATAAAGTTGATTTTTAGGATCCTAATGCAACTCCTTTGAGTTATTTCTCAGTGTTTGGAACATAAGCAAGAAAAAGAGTTAGAGACTGCAGTCCAAACTTGTTTTCAAAATCCTTTTCCATCCATTTTTTAAGGAGGAAATAGGTGAGATTTCCTTAATAAACATTATTGCCTCTGTCACTTAATTTTACCTTTCTTGCTATAATCAGCTCTATAATTTATTAATTCATTATCTGCTTAATTTTCATATCCTAATAGTGAAATGAAGCCTCACAGAACTTAAAACTCAGAAAAAACTTAAAGTGAACTAACCCAGTGTATTCATTGCAGAGAGGTTAAGAGCAAGTGGCAAAACCAAGTCTGGGTACCCACGTTTCTTGTCTCCAGAGTTCTTTTACTCACACTGGACACCTCT